CAGGTCGCCGCCCCTCTCATTCCGGCCCAGAACCGCCTCGCGAGGCCGCCGCCACCCCGGGGCGCGTGTGACCCCCACGTCTACATGGACCCCGCGGGCCGGGGGAGCTCCGGATGAATTCAGGGCCGGGGCTGGAATCAGACCATGTTGGTGGCCCGTGGTTCCTCCAGGGGGGCGTCAAGGAAACAGCTCGACCAGCTGCCCCAGCAGGGCCGCGGGACCGCTGGCCTCCGACACGCCCGTTAGGACCCGGGGACGAAGCTGCGTCCGGCCCGAGTGGCCCCGATGGGGCCCTAACCGAGGCCTCGCTGCCTGAGCCCAGGAGCCCGCTGAGGGCTCGGGACTAGTGACCCTTCCCCAGCTGGATGGAACTGGCGGGGGAGGGAGCGGTTATGGCCGCAGCCGCCGGTCACCGTGTTCGCTACAGTGACCCCGGGGTGCTGTGGGATCCCCACTCATGGAGCCGCTGCTACCCCACAGTCCCCGGTGACAGCCAAGTAACCTTTTTGCTGGAAATCTCTGATCCTGAAAGTCAACATGTGTTAACCGAGTTTGAAGAAAGGAGTGAAAACACATAATAAGAGAGGAGGGAACCGTGAGAAGGAAATTATCTTTTCTGTCAAAGGGATTAGAATCGGCCAAACTGAGTAGATGTCCATGGGCGTGTCCTCCGTGGTACCGTGGTCTCCCCCATTCTGTACTCAGTACAAGGGTGCCCCACGCCCCAACCCAAGGGTCCACCCCGTGCTCATTTTCTAAATTAGCCAATGGTTTGGATTGTGAGGCCGCACCCTAACCAGTAGGGCATGGCGCAGTGGCACTCGCCCTAGGGGTAAAAGCCGAACGCCCCGCCTGCTGTGCTGGCTCCCCTGATTTGGGCAGCTCCGCACCCTTCTGCAGAAGTAACGTTTTCTCTGCCGAGGTACTTTGGATTCCTTGTGTCTTTATTTGCCACACAGTCGAAACATATTCCCAACAGTTCTTTCCTGCCTTAGTCTCCCCATCGCCTTCTGTGCACAGTCCTGGCCTCCCCACCTCTGCACCCCTAAAAAGCTGAGGCCGACCCTGGACGGCGTGGCTCAGCAGTTGAGCAGCACCCTGGGATCCAGGTCACGGCTCAGTTCCCAGTCAGGGCACATGCCCGGATTGCAGGCTCGATTTCCAATAGGGGGTGTGCAGGAGGCAGCTGGTCNGAGGAAGAAAGGCTGAGCCCTAAACAAGGCGAATGGCCACTGGGGCTGCAGCAGACCAAGGGTGTGACACGGACCTCCTGCCAGCAAAACATGTCTTTTTTAGTTTGTATTTTTAAAAGTTTTTATTGATTTCAGAGAGAGGAAAAGAGAGAAACATCAGTGATGAGAGAGAATCATTGATGGGCTGCCTCCTGCACGCCCCCTACTGGTGATCAAGCCCGCAAGCCAGGCATGTGCCCTGACCAGGAATAAAACCCTGACCTCCTGGTTCATGGGTCTACGCTCAACCACTGAGACACACCAGCCGGGCAGCAAAACACATTTATCCAGGAGCCCAACGACTTCCCAGGCACTTGGGTACGTGAGGGGCCTGTCCCCACCAGGAGCCTTGCCCTGGTCCGAAATGACTACGGCTGCTGGACACCACTGGATCTGAACTCACCCCGCTTGGCTATCATCTGTGGGCAACCCAAGTTCAGGTCGATGGCATCACAGTAGTCCTGAGCCAGGAGTGCCGCCTGGACAAACACCTCTGGGTCGTTGGCACAGAACTGGAAGAGACAGACAGTCACCATGAACCTGAGCCAGGCCCTGGTCCCTTGGCCACCCATAAGGGTTCATTCCCATGTGACCCAGTGGGGGTGTGGTCCGAGGAGCTGACTCTCTTAAAAGCTTTCAAAACCACAGAGCTGGGACATCCCCACGGTCCCAGATTTGTAGAATTTCTCCCGACTGTAACAGGCCAGACTTAGCTGAGAGCAGAGCCATTCTTTCTAACCGTTCTGATAAAAAGGCAGCATGAGAAACGGCATGTGGGGGATGTCATGGGCTACAGATCTTTCCTGGCAGCCAAGCTGTCCACTTGCCAAGGTCTGAGCCAGCTCCCAGGAAAGGGTCAAACTCTGAGAAAGGTAGCTGCGGGTGCACCTGGCTTCCATGGCCCTCCACCCCCTCCCCTCCCTTCCCCTCCCATCAGGGCTGAGAAAAAGGGGCTCCCAGGTGTCTAGTGGCGAGGCCCACTCACCTGCACAATGAGGGGCCGGTCCTCGGGGCACACCTCACAGTACAGGTTCTCCTTCCGGTAGTTGGCATCGCGGACGAAGACCTGGGCGTGCAGCATGGGGGTGTAGCAGAGCTGGGCCCCATGGCGGCGACTCAGCAGCCTCCAGGCCAGCTCGCTCTGGTCCACCATGGGGGCCACCACGTGGCGGGCCCCCCCCAGGGTGCAGCTCCAGAACTCGAAGCCCTGCAGCTTTGGCATCTCTCCACACTGCGGAGGACACCAGGGGCTCAGCCGCGCGACCAGACCCACGCGGGTGGACGATCGGACTGTCCCCAAGGCCACAGCAGTGCCGCCCCAGGGTCACAAGCGTGGACACTAACGGTATTGGCTGGTGTGGGCCCCGAACTGACCCCCAGAGCCGGCCCCTCCCGCCGAGACCCTGAGCCGGGGCCCTCCGTGTTCTCGGGGTTAACGCCGGCCGGCCTGCATGCTGCCGGAGGGAATGGCGCCGGGGCCGCCCTGAAAGCAGCTGTGGCTACAGGCCCGGCCGCGCCCACCCGGGGCGTCCCTGCAGCTAGGCCCTGGGGTCAGAGGGGCCGGGGGCAGCCT